CCCCCCCCAACCCAGACGCTCCAGCTCCCCCGAAACAACGTGACCCGAGTCATTGCAACCCAGCCCAGTAGCCCAGCAGCACGTCCCACACACAGGCATCCGATAGAATCGCACCCCGACCCGGCATCTGAATCCCTGCACCCAGTCCCAGAAGAGACCGCCGGACGCTGCCTCCAACAGGAACCCCGTTGTCGATGACACTTCCCCAAGAACCTCGCGGTGAGTTGATATATGCACCACACACAGTTCAACTTGCCTCCATTTTCATGTGCACCTCTTTTGTTTTTTTGTTTTTATTTCTCCCTCCACCCCTGATATTGATCACATTACGGAGGGAAAAATATCTACGAAACTGCTTCTCGGGCAGCATTTAACCTGCATGCCCCAGCCCATTTAACCCCTGCCATACCCTCACCTATTCAACCCCAAAGGCAGTTGCGCCTCAGACTTTGTTCTTTTCTGTTTTGAACCACCTCTATAAAACTGTACTGTAAAAAGACAGTAAGGAGTTGTATGTGTATTCATGGCATGACCTTTTTAAAAGGTGGCTCAGAAAACACACAGGGGCGACCAGTGTGCCTAGCAATGACTGTGATTTGACCCATCATTAGATGGTTCAGATCACAAGAACAATGTGCACAGACAATCAGATTGGCTTTCTGACTTGTGATCGCTGAGATGTTTGCATTTGAGAGCCCTCCCCATCTTCTCACAATGGAGGAAGGGGAGGAAACAATATTTATGAGTAAAGGTTTTAGGAATGCAGGGATCAGCAGCAGCAGATTTATAGTGAGGGCTTTTAGCTGGCACTAGAATCGTTTTTTTTATTATCCCTTCCTCTGCCTCCTCTCATGTTCAACTGATCTCCATCCTGTCTCTGTATGTGATCTGTATATATGAACCCTTCGCCTCCCTTAACTTGCACATTAGCCCCCTCATTTCCATCCCCCATTGTATGTGACCTGTACATAAATGAATGATGCTCTGTATCTAGTGCACCATTACCAAGCTTATATATATATATATAGAGAGAGAGAGAGAGAGAGAGAGAGAGAGAAAAATTTATTTGGGAACAGTGTTGCATGGCTGAGTAATTTGTCAATCAAAATATCACAGCACTGAAAACAGAAAAATTCCCTGATAATGAAGGGGTAAGTACAGGCTGGTACTTAAGTGGCTAAAAACCCAACTGATATTTATAGCAAATGTTTGTAACTTTAAGCTACAGTTGTGATTGGCTGCTGGAGGTTTCCCATATTATGTCTTGCATTGGGTCTCTTGTCAGTACACATGCAGAGAATACTTAGGATTAAGTGTTGAACTGCCAAGCCCACATCTGATCCTTTCAAGGGACGATGTCTCTTCAGATTTCCTCTAGGTACCATTATTATTATACAGGATTTATATAGCGCCAACAGTTTGCCCAGCGCTTTACAATATAAGGAAGACATTACAATTACAATACAATTAAATACAAGATGGTAAGGAGGGCCCTGCCCGTGAGGGCTGACAATCCAAAAGGGAGGGACCAGTGATATATGAGGCGGTGGCTGTGTGGGGATGATTTGTTTGAGAATGGGATGGTTCAGTGGTTAGGTTGAGGTGGGATAGGCTTCCCTGAAGAATCATTATCCAGGATGCTACTAATGGCAAGAGCACCCATATTCCTCAGCAGAAGAAATATAAGCCACAGCCTAGGAAAGCTCATCCCATTTAATTTTCACTGCTTCCACAATATCCACATGAAACCCCCCAAACGTGTCTTCCAGTCCACCCACAGGGTCTGGGGATCAAAATCCACCAAACCCTCAGACAAACCTTCCTTTTCCATTATTTATAGTGGCACAGGTATCTGTTAACCTTGGTGGACACTTTGACAACTTGCATCTCAGATGCTTGGGTGCAGGAGGTGGCCTCCAGGGGCTACAAGCTAGATTTTTGCCCCCTACCCACTCGTTTTTTAACCTCCAACCTTCTTGTGTCTCGCACAGATTAGCAAATCTCCATTAAGCCCTCTCAGGTCTTCTGGATCAAGGTGTCAATGGCCCAGTTCCTGTGGTAGAACTGTTTCTGGGGTTTTACTTCAATCTGTTCAGAGTTTCCAAACCCAAGGGGGACATCCACCCCATGTCGGATCTCAAAAGCTCTGAATGTCTTCATGCGGGCTAAGAAATTCCGCATGGATTACACCAGGACTGTTATTGCCTCCCCTCGCAAAGGGAGACTTTCTATCTTCTGTGAATATAAATGACTTGTACCTGTCCTCAACTTTCCAAAGCATCAGCGTTTCCTACACTTTCCTGTGGGTCCACTGCACTAACATTTTTTGCACTGCCCTTCAGCCTCATCTGCACCTTGGTTGTTCACCAAAGTACTAGCTTGGCTGCACTCAGGGAAAACTTCAAACGAATCCCGGATTCCTTTTGCAAGATCCTCACTACAAATGCCAGCATGTTGGGCTGGGAAGGAGTACCAGACACCCTGTCCATTGGTGATCTAAGGAATCGTGTCTCCCGATCAACCTCTTTTGAGCTTTGCATGATTTGGCCATCTTTGCTTTGTACCATCCTGCTGGAGGAATCTTAGATTCAGTCGGATAAAACCATGGCTGTGGCATACACTACATCAACCAAAGGGGAAGAACCAGAAGTCTGTCTTTCCATCTCTCTCTGGCTCCAGTTCACCAAAAGGAAATGTCCTTCTACTGTCTACATGTGTTTCAGGCACTGAGAACCCATGCCCCCTTTCAGAAAGACTAATTCCCTTTTTGTCATCCTGCATAGAAAATGTAAGGGTTAAAAGTATGTAAGGTACAGCGGAAGAGGTCAGAAGTTTGCACCTTGCAGACAGAACAAACAGAGTTCAGGGTTCAAAAGTATGTAATGTACAGAGGGCAGGGACCAGGTGTACGTAACATAGAGAGTGCAGAGGCCAGAAACATGCAACTTAATGAGTGTAGTGCTCTGGTTTATGTAACCTAACCACTGAACCTTCACATTCTCACATAATTCATTCCCACAGCTACCTCACGTATCATTTCCCCCTCCTCTTTTAGATTGTAAGCCCTCAGGGGCAGGGCCCTCCTTACCATCTTGTCTTGAATTGTATTGTAATTGTTATGTCTTCCTTATATTGTAAAGCGCTGCGCAAACTGTTGGCACTATATAAATACTATGTAATTATAATAATAACTAAGAGGCCTGGAGTATGTAATGACCACAGTGCCGGGTACAGGGACCTGGAATTATATAATATAAAGACTGAAGGGTCCAGGAGTATGCAAAGTACAGAGCACATGGGTCAGAAATATGTAACATAGGAAATGTAGGGTTCAGAAATAGGCAATGTACAGAGTTCAGCAGCCAGGGTATGTAACATACAGAGTGCAATCATCGGAAGTGCAGGGGAAAAAGGTATGTAATGTATAGAGTGCAGGTGCTAGAAGTATGTATCAAACAGAATTCAGGGAGCAGGAGTATGTAATGTACCCCTGTAGGGCAGTGCTCCCCAACCTTTTTATCGCCGCGGACCGGTCAACGTTTGATAATTTTATTGATCCACGGACCGGTACCGGTCCGCGGCCCGGGGGTTGGGGACCACTGCTGTAGGGGACAAAAGTGTGTAACGTACAGCCCAATATATAGTGGACAGCACAATGTAACATACATCACAAGCTACTGAACGCAGTGGCCCCATCAGCATAGCATACTGAGACAGCTGCACTTTGTATATCATGCTTTATGCTGTATATGCCTGACCACTGCACTCCCAGCATACAGAGTGCAGTGTTCCGGTATAGCAAACACCAAGCAAACATTGCCCCTCTCTTCCTAAGTACCCTACTCTGTATCTGCATCTGATTTAATTCACTACTATATGGATGCTCCTGCAGAGCTGTAGTAATGTCCAGGACATGCAGTGGCCAGAGTACTCCCCTGGTATTGCCCCTGCTGCTGCCCCTGCTTACACCATAGAGGGAAATAAGATTTTTACCTTTCAGCGGTGAGTACCACCGACCTGGTTTATTACTGCAACTATGTCACCATAGGCTTTGTTTCTTGCTGCAGCTAGTTTACCGATATTAATCACAAAGCACCTGAGACCTGTTTAATTACTACAACTAGTTCACTTTCAACAGGGAGCACCTCAGACCTGGTTTGTTGCTACAGGTGGTTTGCTTTCAGCAGGGAGCACAACAGTCATTTTATGGAATTCATTTAAAGGGAATAATTATATCGTTTACATAAAAAAGGGGTAGCAGAAAAATACTACAGAATACAAAAACTTGCATTTACAGTTATTACTTTGTGATTTTCTATGCAACATAGCACGTACAGTATGTTTTGTTTGATATATTGTGCTTGGTCTATTTTTAATATTTGTTCGGGGCTTCACATTGTGAGTCCTAAAACTACACCCTAGTATGTAAGCAGCTGAGTCATTGAACTGTTCTTTTTAAATGTATGTTTTTTTATATTTTTAGTTGATATTGTGGAGATAACAGCTGACATTTATTGTCCTTGATTTTAGATCTGTTGCAGAGGCAACTGAAGTAGATCTCAACATGAGAGTCGGACTGCATACTGGCCGAGTTCTGTGTGGTGTCCTGGGGCTTCGCAAATGGCAGTATGATGTCTGGTCCAATGATGTTACACTGGCTAATGTAATGGAAGCTGGAGGATTGCCTGGGTATGTTTTTGTATTTGTTTCTCTTTCATTTACACATACTTTTTCAGTTGGACAATGCAGTGAACAATGATGTACGAAGAACAGTAACTCATGGAACTAAGATAGGCATAATAATAGTGAGCACGAGATTGTAAAATTATCTGTGGGACCACTAGGTGTGGGCAGCCGACATAATTTCTCTCCCTTATTTACCATCTGTACAGAACAAAGCTACAGTTGTCTTTTATTCAAATCCCTATGATTATTCTGTTTACTGCTGTGAGAGCTAGACGGCTTATTAGCTATATTGAAAGTAAAATAGTAAAAAAAAAATTGACATATTAGGAGCACTTGCCCACGTTAGTATTACTGCTCTGCTGTGAAAAAAAGGGTTGCTTGCTTTGCATATCAGTCATTCAGCAAACTCCTAATATTTTTATCAATGAATAATAGATATTCTCTTATTGGACGAGGGGTTGTACTGTGATGTCGCCGCCCCTTTTCCTTGCAAACATTGCTAAAAATACTAGGCATTCACTAAATGGCCGCTGTGCTGACAGAGCAACCCTCTGTGTTTTCACACCAATGTGTAAGTCCCTCAGTGTAGTGGCTGTACAGGACCCATAAGACTGCTCACTGTAAAGCTCTTTAGTAAGTTCTGTAGTAGTCAATCACAGATTAAACCTCTGTTTAAGTTTCCACACAGAAGGCCATTCAAATAGGCATTTTTTGTTGCAAATACCTAAATCTTTGTGTTTTCAACCTGTAAAATCTCGCATTGGGCTATACCTACATGTGTTTTCCATGGTGAGCTATCGGACAGGAAGTGAAGGAAAATTTCCCTAAGGGGACATAGATGCCCCAAAAAAAGCTGATGTGTTATAACCCTCCCATACTTTATCCAAAACTAAAATAAAAAACGTTTTGGCATCAGTTGTACTTGAACCTTGTCCACTAGATTGCCAAACCATTTTTCTTTTTGGAGTGACTAAGATGTAGGGATGCATATTTATTATGGCCAGAATATGCATCTGTATGTACTGTGCAGATCTTGCAACTAATAATCTAAATCTCTATGAAAGTCAAGAGACAAATGTTTTGATCATCCAGCGAGTGTTTGCACAGGCTGAGTAGTTCCTTCGCAGGTAGGAAGACTCAGCAGCATTCAGGACCAGTGAGGGAGGGATTCCCCAGAGGTAAGTGGAAGACTCTTCAGTGTCAAAGTATGACATCAGCCTTAATCTTACCACAAACCTTACAGTCTGAGTGTGTAATTTATATCTACCAATAACTTAGTAGTTTTTCTTGTTGTTTCATTGTTTTTTAGGAAGGTTCACATTACAAAGACCACCCTAGAGTGCCTAAATGGGGATTATGAAGTTGAACCAGGTTATGGTCATGAAAGAAACAGTTTCTTGAAAAAGCATAACATAGAGACATTTTTCATTGTGCCATCTCATAGAAAAAAGGTATGTTTTACAATAACATAGCTAACTAAATCTAAAAACTATTAAATAAAATATTGTAAGCAAGTTTAATGTGTACTGCTTGCCTTAAATATATATTTTGCAGTCATGTTATAATTATTGTGCAGTCTTATAATAAACCTTTTCTTATTTCATTTTGATCAAGTTCATATGAAATGTTGCTTATAAATATTTAATACTTAATATTTACCACTTGGAGCCAACAAGATGCAGGCTCCAAACAGCTGCTTTTAACAGGATCAAAAGTTGCCATGTTGGAAAACAAAGCTGAATAGCAGGAGGTAGCAGTTTACACAAATTATAAATTACTCATTAGTTGGTGTAATCAGAGGAAGGACCCAAACATCCCTCAATAATTACCCAGACTATGCATACTGCCAACAAATATAAACAAACTTTTATCCATGACCTTGCAAAAAAGCCCAGCATCTTCTGCAAACTGCAAAAGTGTCATGGATGTACCTTTTATCAAATGTTTGTTTGTAAAAGAAAGATTTTAAAGAAACAGGTAAATTGTGCCATAAGACATAAACTGTAAATCAACTGTTACTAGATAAAAATGTAAAAATGGCTCCCTGTAAAGATAATAATTAGACATTTCCTATCCTACTGTCCATGCCATTACTCTTTTCTTGACCTACAGTGGTTGAAGTATCTTCCGCATTCATAACACTTGCAGGGGTGTTGAATGCCTAGTTGTTGGACTCTCTGTGGTTTCAATCTTCGGATCCTGCATCACTAAAGGGCACAGTAGCAATGTAAGAGGCAGCTGATTGAACCACAGAATGCATTAAGGCACCAGACATTCAACCTTAAGAAGATTTAATGATCCTTTAGGTGAGCTGCATTTCCTTATTTGATTTCTTTGTCTTGGGTTCTAAAGGACCCTGTCCCAGCACTGCAAGCTACTGTTTAATCCATTTACAGAATAATTTAAAAAATATTATACTCTTACATACAGATTGCAATATAACTTTAATCTTTCAGAATCCTGTATTGCCCCATCTAGCAGCACCCACTCTAAGAAGGGGAGAGGCAGCACTATCAGCTAGTCAAGCTGTGCTGCATAGCACAATGCTGTTCATCTAACAGTGGCAGACTCCTGAGAGGAGTACAGAGCACAGGGATGATTTTATAATTGTGTGGGCTGGGCTCTAGACCAGACTTTATTGTTTAACTGCAGTGTAGTCTGCAGAGTGAGCTCAGGGATTGCAAAACCTTGTTGTGTTGTCTGGCAGGTGTTTATGAACCACAAGACTGGTTGAAAAGAAGTAGAAAACATTTGGTGGAGGAAGTGGTGTGCCGGTGAGTAGCCAATCAAGATGGCAGCCTTCTGAACAGACCATGCAATACCCAGGCAAAGAGAATGCAACCGTCACCTTTATTATTTCCCCCCTCCACTTCCTTGCCCAGTAGGGCAGTTTATGGGTGCAATGGTGGTCTAATGGTGTAAGCTCCATTACAGAAAGCGCATGGTCCCAAGATGGTGGTTTCACAACACAGCGAGGTAAGGCCGGCAGCTCTGCAGCTGTCCCCAGAAGCTACTGACACCTCTTCTCTGGAAAACAACACTCCACATAGGGGTCCGGACTGAGACCACCAGAGACACAGCCCTGCTGGACAAATCCAGCAACATGCTCAAATCAGAACTCACCGGGGCTACAGATTAGCTGACAGCCAACATCGGGAGATTGGTACTCGTACTGACCAACTTGAACGAAAGATGGACGATGTCTTAACTGTAGTAGGTTCACAAGAAAAGGAGCTTGACTCAATGAGTAAAGACCAAGCATGATAACCTACATATAATGGGCCTCCCGGAGACTATAAAGGATCTTAGTTCCACGAAAACAGCCCTGTTTCAAGAGTTGTCTCCCCCTTTACCCATTAGCAGACTAGAGTTCAATCTTATATATAGAACTCTAACATAGAAAAGAGACATTATTGTCAAAACCACCTTCTAAAATAGAAAGGAGACCATAATACTGGCAATCAGAGGCCACATGACACTTGTGTTTTAGGGTCATCCTTATCAGATCCTTGCAGTCATATCTACAATGTCCTATCTGGACACTCTATGCTTCCATTATATTCCATACAGATGGGGCTTTCCCTTTCAATTAATATTCAACTACAGTGGGAAGATGCTAGAGGAAGTCTGCAGAGAAGCCTTGAGCTCCTGTCAGCAACATCACCAGATCCACTACAATTGAATCCCAGTCAGAAGTCCACCTGGCTGAGACTGATTTGGAAGATCAGCAACAAGACCATTTCACAAATCCAGCCAGAGTGAAAGCTTAGTCACTGCTCCTAGATGGAGCCTGACCTGACAAGTCTTCTGGTTGGTACCATCAACAGGGAAATGTAACCTTTATACCAAAGCTAACTTTTTGTTACCTCACCTTCTCCGGGACAAGATCACCTCACACACAGAATGTGGGACTTAGGATGGGACAGGACTAAGGGGTACTTTGCTTAGTCCAGCTAAGGGATCTGCCCAATGATGGTTGACTATCAGACCACCCGATTAATGCATGGTTGCCCTCCAATTCCAGCTTAATATGGGAACACTTTTTGTCATCCATTGTTTGGTCTAAGGATCCTGTTTTTTTTCCTCCAACCATACCTGCCAACTGTCATAGATTACCATACCACACTGGAGGTTATCTGAGCGCCTGAAGCCTGCTTTAGGGCCACTATTATAAATGGGTTCTATGGTTCTCGAGTTGTATCATTTTAATAGGCTTTTGATAATAGTGTATATTTTTTTCTGATGGCCTCTTATAGTTTTTTCATGGAATGATCCTTCCATGAATGATCCTTTTACACTCACTTTAAATGCTTTCTCATTGTACTATACTATATAGAGTTGCAAAGCTGCCTACTGATATACCCACCTGTAAAGTAAAATGTCGCTAATCTCTACTCACAATCTGCTAATCTGCATTATTTGGGCAACTTTATTTTACCTATTAAATTCTTCCCTTGCGCCCTGAGAATGAATAGCTGATACTAACATTTCAACAGGCATCTTCAGATAGTTATAGATATACACATTACAATATGAACATGAACAATTAAATATACAATATTTAATTGTTCATGCCACATGCACTCTTTCCACTCCCACACACCCCAACATCTAAAATGCCACTTTTAGCCTTCTCTTATTAGCCTGGGTTCATAACATCCCCTCGGCACAGTGTGTCTTACTACCCTATACTTTCTATCCTAATCCTATACTATCTTCCCCTACCTACCATTTTCTTACTGCCCACACCATTAGCTCAACCCCTTGTGCCCAGATGGCAGCCAGCCTCCATTACACAAGAGACGGAGATGGACTTAGTCCGTCTACACTTCTGCTACTTTTCCTTTTGGACAAACCTTGGTGTACATGTTGTTCTTTTCAGTTGTGTTCTATATGACATCCCCCTGGCTTCTTCCTGAATCTCCTCCTCTTTTTCCTGATGGGTTTTGATAAACAATGGAGCAAGTATTAGCAGACTTCCCCCTTGGGGTGCCCCCCTTTCCCTCCCAACTTATGCAGCCCTCAGGCTTCTCACTTCTCTCCACACCATAGATCCTGACTTTGGCTAATGATCTTGATATATTCTAACTTAATATCCACGGTCTCAACTCCTAATAATCGTAACAAAGCTTTTTCATATACTTTTCTCCTTCATGCAGACATTGTCTTGCTTCAGGAAACCAGATATCCCCCCTTCTCCTCTTGCTGCAATTATTTACTTAAAAATTATCCTTAATTCTGCTGTGCCAACTTCAGAGAAAACAAGCATTGTGTGGTGTTTGCCTTTAGGATAAATATACCCTTTCTTTGCAGACCCTATGGGCAAATATATTCTACAAGGGTCCTTATATGAAATCGATATAACAATTGTTTCCAAATACATACTGAACATGCAACAGACTAGATTTCACACTTATTGACTTATTCTCACAAGAAACTCATATCTAGTACTTGATTTAGACAAGGACAGAACAAAAGCCCATTCAACCAACCCGACCGGCTTTATCTTCTCACATCTCTGCTATAGCAACACTGCTTAAGGAGCACCAACTTATCGACATTTGTATAGAAACCTAATCCAGCTACAAAGGGTTTTATCTACTTGATACATTCTGTAGAATTGACCAAAAAACTTTGTGTTAAATAAATGAATGATTCCCCATCAGCATCTGCTGGCTCCTTATTGGACATAGAATACTTCCCCTGCAAAATTTCAAATAAGCAACCAGCCTCGCCCCCGATGGCCGTGCAATCCTTATGGTTGCAGCATTTGTGGCCAGATGGCTTGTGGATGGCTGCTGGTGGAGGGAACATGGGGCCCTGCACTTGGGTGCGTTCAAGTTTCTTGGTGCCTGAGTGTGACGCAGCCTGCTGTGTGCTGCTTCCTGCAGGTTTTTGATCTCCCGGTCAATGTGGCCGGAGATGAAAAACTGCCTGCTGTGCTGCTGGGGCTGGGGACATGTATCTCTGATGGGAAAGGGGAGTGGGGCTTGTGACAGCTAGCGGTGACTGTGCGGCTCCCTGCAGCTTTTACTCTACGGCCAGTGCAGCTGGAGATCAAAGGCCGCCTGCCACTCTGCTGGGGCCTGGGGACATGCATTTCTGCTGGGGATAGGGAGGGGGGAGGCAGACAGCTGGACTATAACACCTATGTTCTAGCAAGAATATAAGAAATATATGCTTGTGTATGTGAGCCCTGTATACTACTTTATCACACAGAAATTGACATAAAAAGTTAGATATCTTTCGATATCTATCTTTAGATAACTTTCCTCTAATAAGGGTTTAGGGGCGCACAAATTTGTATATTAAATATATCAAATTAATGTTATTGTATACTGTGACTGCATTATTACTGCAATATTTGTAATTACCTGAGGAACCCAGTTTATATATTGAGACAGAAATCTTTTGGTAGGTGAGATAGACCCCTTTTATGTCAATTGTGTAT